GTCAGTACTTTGGGTCGGATTTGCCAGGCTTTCTAACCTTAGACCTTTGAGCAGCGTCATATTCATGGGTGCGTGTAAACAAACTGGTTTCCCAATGTTCCCGTAAGAAATCATGAAAAACATTTGGCTGAGGGCAAGGCTCTTATGACTGGATTCTGCTCTGTGTCTAGGTCCCCTCCTGAATCAGAATAAGGAAGACCGTCACCTCCCCATCTCCAGTGGCACATTCCCTACAGAGATCTCCCTGGCCACACTCATACAGTGGTTACCTCAGGCAGGAGCATGGGGTTCCGGTCCTGGGGGGGTTTGGTGAGTTCACACTTCAGGGTCAGCGTCCTGTGCTTCATGCTCTTGTTACATCAGGAAGGTGGTGTAACCCACAGTCACCTCGCAGCTGCACAGGTGAGATTTCTTAAGCACTTTGGACATCTTGATGACAAGTGTTTTACTTGGAGTATTGGGTCCAATACCACTTTTATGGTATTAAAAGTTCTCACATCACATTCCTAGTCTATTCTTACTTCTATCCATGTGTGTGGAAGCAAACTTGTTAAGAGGCTAAAACCCATTCTGTTGTTAGGAGAAAGGGGCTGGTGCACAGCGCCTGTGGCTCAGTGAGCAGGGCACTGGCCCCATATACTGAGGGTGGCGGTTCAAACCCAGCCCCAGCCAAACTGCAACAAAAAAATAGCCAGGCTTTGTGGTGTGCGCCTGTAGTCCCAGCTACTTGAGAGGCTGAGGCAAGAGAATTGCCTAAGCCCAAGAGCTGGAGGTTGCTGTGAGCTGTGAGGCCAGAGCACTCTACTGAGGGCAATAAAGTGAGACTCTGTCTCTAAAAAAGAAAAAAAAAGGTGCTGGTGGGCAGATGGGCTGGACCACCAGCAACAAACTGGTTGAGACCTCTGCTTTCCTTTTCTTTAGCTTTTTGTAAGTAATGCCTGTTAATAACCCACAAATATACTTTTGAAATGACAGGGCTAGTTCATAAGAATCATTGTCTGAAGTTTTGTAATGAGGAACTATTCAGAGGGACCAAAGATTTTGACTGGAAGCAGAAATGTTTCATGAAAGAAATATCCCTTGGGCCCAACAGAAATCCAGCAAGCCATGGCTTATAAGAACAGCATATAAACATTTACGATTTCTAAAGTCTCTGTTTTTTTTTCAAAACTTTAACTATGATTCCACGTGAAACTTAAATGTAATGATTTGTGCTGCTGGTTAATATTACTATGATTAGCTATTTTGGTAAAATTTAAAATTTGTATTAAGAAATTGGGCAGACCTGTTTGCTTTCTCTCATTTGTTAACCATGCTCACGAGAGCTAAGCCATGGCATTGTGGGCCATAGTGATGGCACATAGACTCACCAAAAAGTACTCTTAAAGATGAGATAGTAAATCTAACCAGCACATTTCCCAGGTAAGAATAGAGGTTTAGGAAGGTGGTGCCTAAAAAAAAAGTAATAAATTATTTAGTTTAGGCAGATCTACTTTAGGTATCTTCAAGTTCAGATTTTTGTTTTGTATCATTTTGTTTTTTTGTTTTGAGAGAGTCTTACTCTGTCACCCAGGGTAGAGTGCCATGGCATCATCTCGGTTCACAGCAACCTCATACTCTTGGGCTCAAGCAATCATCTTGGCTCACTCCCAAGTAGCTAGGACTACAGGTACCCACCCCAACGCCCAGTTAATTTTTCTATTTTTAGCAGATACAGGGTCTTACTTTGCTCAGGCTGGTCTTCAATTCCTAAGCTCAAGCAATCCACCTGCCTTGGCCTCCCAGAGTGCTACGATTATAGGCAGGAACCACCAGAGTTCTTCTCATTAGACTAAACATTATAGCCAGACATTATAGTTATTTTAATTACCAACTAGTGAACTTGGGGAGTCAGTGAACACATTTTTGATGGTTCATGAGTTACCAGGTAACATGGATAGTTTCTATCTAAAATTGCCAGTTCATAACATGTTAACATAGCAGCTAATCCCTGGTTGATTTCTCCCAGTCTCAATCCCCAGCTGTCCCAAATTCAGCCTGTTTTATTCTTTCTCCCCTCCTGATCTCTCAGCTGCTTATAACATAGACTCACTTCACATCTCTAACATCTTAACACATTGTGGACTGGCAATTTTTCACAGAAACTATCCACGTTACTGGGTAACTTGTGACTGGTCAACAATGTGTTATGTACTATAAACCTCAGGCACCATTGCTCAGCTAATTATTGCACTGCCTTAGAGATTATCCACATGAAGGGCTAGACGAGCACTTGGAACGCAGTGGTAGCCATTCTGTAATCATAACTACTACTATTTCAACAAGCACTTACTGAGAAATGTCACCATGCCAGGGGTTGACTCTGGGGTGTCAAGGGTTAGTAAGGATTATAAGCTCAGGATACAGCCTGCGACAGCCTGCCAAAGTTCATGTTTTGGGACTTTATCCCCAATGCAACAGTGTTAGGAGACGGAACATTTAAGAGGTGGGAGAGAATGTGAGACCTGAACACACAGGAACAGAGAGGGGCTGGAACAGGAGGAAAAAAGATTTGGGGCTTGGGGAAGTGTAGCAGATTTAGATAGGTGAAGGTCATTAGTGCCACTAAAATGAAAGGTTGGACTCAAACGGACAGATTAAAAGGTCTGATAAGATGGAACCTGCATACCTCTGCCCAGGGACCTCACCCAACCTGAGCCCAGCCTCCTTCTGGGATGTGGAGTCCAGGAGGCCTGGGAGAGGCAGCAGGGGAAGAGGCCAGTCTGTGGAGTCAGACAGTCTGGAGTTTATATGCCACCATGGCCACTGCGTGGTAGAGGGCCTGAGACACTATAGGTGTGCCAGACTTTAGCTTCTGTCTCTGTAATGCAACAGTCCTCCCCACCTGTGCACACACACATACAGTTGCATCCGTGTGTGCAGGAGGAGAACATCGTTCCTCTTTCCTTGGAAGCCCCACCCAGGTACACTGGTGTTTGGTCCCATCCTGTGTGGGAACAACTTAGCATCAGTATGGAAGTTTAGTTTTAGTGTAGGCATAAACAGCAAGGCTTTGGAGACAGATCAATCTGGGTTTGAAGCTTGGCTCTGGTGTAGGGCAATTACCTTCTCCACTGCTGTCCAGTAGAAATACAGTGCAAGTCACATGTTTAACTCCAAGTTTTCTAGCAACTGCATTAAATACATAAAAAGGAAACAGAAATGTAGATAAAAACTGCAGTGAGATATCACCTTATTCCTGTTGAAATGGCTTTTAGTAAAACATTCAAAAACAAGAGATGCTGGCATGGATGCAGAGAGAAAGGAATGCTTATACACTGTTGGTGAGACTGCAAATTAGTACCACAAACAGTATGGAGATTTCTCAAAGAACTTAAAGTAGACCTGCCATTTGATCCAGCAATCCTACAACCGGGTATGCACCCAAAGGGAAAACAATCTTCTTTTAGAAAGACATGTGCACTTGAATGTTTATTGCAGCATAATTCACAATTGCAAAGATGTGGAATCAACCCACATACCTGTCAATTCATGAATGGACGGATTAACACCATGTAGTATATGTATGCCATGGAATATTACTCAGCCTCAAAAGAGGATGAATTCATGCCTTTTGCAGCAATTTGGGAAGAGGAACTGAAGACCATTATTCTAAGTTAAGTATCCCAAGAATGGGAAAACAAACACCACAGGTACTTTCTAATAAATTGGAACTAACTGATGGGCACACCTGTGCACAGAGGGAAGTAAAAGTTATTGGAAATCAAGCGGGGGGGGGAGGGCTAAATCCCCCCTATCAGGTACAATGAACACTCTTTGGGTGATGGGCACATTTATAGCCCTGACTTAAAGCATTCATCAAAAGCATCTGTACCCCCTTAATATTTTGAAATAAAAAAAATTTAAAAGAGAAATAGAGGAAATTAATTTTAACAATAGTTTATGATTATTATAAAAGATTACGAACATTCTTTGTTTCATGCTACAGCATGTCTCAATACAGATTAGGCAATTTCAGGTGCTCAAGAGTCAGCTGTGGCCACCTTATTAGACAGCCCAGCCCAGGTCTAGACCACAGGAGCCTCAGATTCCTGCTGTGTAAAAAGGAAGGCATTGGAGTCTCCATCTCCTGAGACAGCCGTGAGGGCTGATCACAGGGGAAGTGTGTTTAAGGTGCTGAGCACGGCCCTGACTCCTGGACATCTGGAGACGGCGTCTGCTGTCAGTGCTGTGACTGTACCGGTGCCCTCCCCTTGTCTCACACAGTTCAGATTCCTACATGACTCTGCCATGGCCTTTGCCTGGTCCAGCAACAGGGAAGTGGTCACACATGAGCAGATTCACCTCCAGGTGAACCAGGTCAGGAGAAACAGGGCGGATTTTCCTAGAGCCCAGGAAGTGGATGCAGGGGGCCTCCCTGCTGCGCCCTGCCCGCCCCTCTCCTTTCACAGGGGTGACTCAGCGCAGCAGCTGAGAGAGGTCAGACAGGAGCAGCATTGTTTGGTGCAGAGCTGGGTGCAGCGCACGGGATTAGGTCTTGGTGGGGTTAGAATTATAGGCACCAAGTCTTGGCCTGAGAGGGCAGGGTGTGTACTTAGAAAAATTAGACACCAGCCCAGCTCCGAAATATCAGGCAGCTGCTGGCCTGGCTAATGATGGACTCTGCAGCTGCTTGGTGTGTTTCTCTTTCCTCCCTTTCCTCCCTTTATCTTTTCGTCCTTCCACAAACACTGAGGGAACATTTTTCCCTCCGTGCACTTCCGAGGCCCAGCATTATACGTAACCCTGGTGGGTTCTCAATACACACCCTTCCCATTCCAAGCACTCTGGGTTTCTCCCCCATTTAAGCCATGACCAACCCAGGCCTGCAGATCCCTGGACTATTCCTATTATGCAGAAAAGGAACTAAGGAACAAAGAGGTTGAATAGTTTGCCCAAGTTCTCACAGCCAGGTTTTGCATCCAACCTACGTGGCTTCAGAGAAGGCAGGTACAGTTCTTGCCCTCAAGGAGTAGGTATCAGAAAAGCACCATGGGAGAAACAAGTTCTGCTGTGGAAGTCAAGAAAGGCTTCCTGGAGGAGGGAACATTTACTCTGGGGATTGAAGGATGAATAGGAGAGTATGCCTGGTAGGCAAGGCAGGGAGACCATCCATGGCAGGGAGGGAAGCAAAAGAGGAAAATGTGACTCACAGACCCCTTTTCCTGTCCTTCTAACACTCAGCTGTGCCCTCGGAACCTGGATGGTATTGCTGTCCCCAACCCACCCAGCAGCCTCAGGGCTCCCTTTTGGCAGTTTGTCCTCTACTCCTTACTGATGTGCCCTTTGTTTTGAATATCTCTCTCTCTCTCTCTCTCTCTCTCGCTCTCGCTCTCGCTCTCTCTCGTTTTTTATTTACTTGTTTGTTTGTTTATTTAAATTTTTGAGACAGTCTTACTCAGTTGCCTTGGGTTTGAGTGCCCTGAGTTGGAGTCTTACTCAGTTGCCTTTGGGTTTGAGTGCACCTTACACACTCTTCCCCTGTGATCAACCCTCACTGCAGCCTCAGGACATAGAGACTCCAACTGCCTTCCTTTTTACACGACAGGAGTCCTAGCTCATAACAACCTCAAACTCCTGGGCTCAAGCGACCCTCTTACCCCAGCCTCCCAAATAGCTGGGACTACAGGCATCTGCCACCACACGCAGCTATTTTTAGAGATTGGGTCTCACACTTGCTCAGGATGGTCTTGAACTCCTGAGTTCAAGCAATCCACTGGCTCAGCCTCCCAGAGTGCTACAGGCATGAGCCACTGTGCCCAGCCTCTCTTTATCAATTATATTCAAAATTTCTTTATCAATCTATATCATTATATCAATTTCTATCAAGAAGAAAAAAATTACCTATTTTTAAGACTTACTATTGGCTGGGCATGTATCACATACATACATGTGTCATAATCCCATTTAGTCCTGTAAGTGCCAGGATTACAGGTGTGAGCCACTGTAATCATATTTATCAATTATAGTTAAGCAATGTATGAAAAAAATTAGAATGTTTAGAGCACATTTTTCAGTATCAAAAATGTCCCTGGGGTAAATCTGTCTTCTGGCATCAAAAATGGGATTCCTCCAAGAATCTCTATGGTGGTGTGGCTAAAAGCACAGACGGGGTTCAAATTCCAACTCTACCACTCTTCAGCTGTGACCATGGATGAGTTTCTCTGAGGGCCACAGTTAATTCATAGGACGGATGTGAAGACCAGGTGGAATCCTACATTTGAAGCGCTTGGCACACAGTTTGCCCTCAGTCCCTCAGCAAAGGGATTTTAAAAGAACAGAAGTGGCAGGTAGAATCTCCAACCCACACCTCATACTCACAGTCGTGCTGGTTTAAGACAAGAGATGTCAAGGATGTCCTAGACACAGTCCTCTCAGGAAGCAGCACCCAAGGCCAGGCCACAGCTTTGCAGTCACATGTTAGGCTTTCCCGAGCAGGCCTGGGCCTGACTCACACTGCCCCTATGCACAAGTGACTGATGTATAAACCAAAGCCAGTCTGTTAATTCACACTAGAGAGGGAGACCTCTCCTGGCATCTCCTCAGCAAGGCGGGACAAATGTTGACAAGTCCTTCTTCTCTGATTGTCCTTTTATATCCTGCAAACAGATACATTGTCACTTCAGAACATCAGGTAACAATACAGGCGGTTAGCTGGGTTCCCAAGCCAGAAATACACCCTGAATCCTGAGTCAGAGGCAGGGTCTCTAGGCAGAAGGCTAAACTTTAATTAGGTAGAATCCTTTTCTCAGGAGCCGCCCTGCACCTTGCTCAGACCTGGGCACTTCTTAAGTTAACTAACCAACACCTTTACCAGCCATTTCGGGGTGTGGCCACATTCCCCACGGCTTCATTGACTGAGTGGCGCTAGTTCTCATGGGTTTCACGCCCAATGGGTAGCTTTAATGCCAAATTCCATTAGCATCAGTACTGCCCACACATGGACCAAAGGAGTGAAGGGGAATTAACGCTACTGCATGCCAGGCCTGTGCTAAGTGTGAGGGGATTACCCTTAATCCTCCTGAGGCTTTGTCGGGAGGTTTCTTCATCCCATTTGACGATTGTGTCACCCCAAAGTGTGTGTGTCCTTACCTCGGGCAATCTGCCAAATTAACAGAACCAGGATCTGATTGTAACATTTGTTCCTCATGGACTTCCCAACAACATTATGAGCAATTTATCACAGAATCATAAAGTGTTAGTATGGAAGAGTCCTCAAAGAGTCAGTAGATCAAACCCCTCTGTGTTTTTTTTTGAGACAGAGTCTCACTTTGTCACCCTTGGCAGAGAGCCATGACATCATAGCTCACAGCAACCTCAGACTTTTGGGCTCAAGCAATTCTCTTGCCTCAGCCTCTCAAGTAGCCAGACTACAGGTGCTGGGTATTTATTAATTTTTTTACCCACAGCACCTGGGTATTTATTTATTTTTTTTAGAGACGGGGACTTGCTCTTGCTCAGGCTGGTCTCAAACCAGTGAGCTCAGGCTATCATCTTGGCCTCCCAGAGTGCTAGGATTACAGGCATGGGCCACCGCACCCAGCCTCAAACCCCACTTTCTTGAAACAATGTAAATAAACTCCTGAGAAATCAGATGTCCTGCCCCAGATCACATATTCAGCTAGGAATTAAACCTAAAACTCCAATCTAGAGCTCCTCTAAGTGAATTCATGGTGTTTGTTGTTCTTGTTTGTCATGAGTCAATATGCACACAAATATTTTATTATCCATTAACTATAAGCCAATACACACCCCCACAGTTTGATCTGGTTTCTACTAATGCAAGGGTCCCTGGCCTCCGGTAAGCTTACATCAGAGTACAGTGACCTCAGGAACTGATGTTTTCTCCTTTCTCAGTGCTGACCCTGGCCTCTGAGGAGGGCAGGCTCAGGCAAGGCCTCTGCTGTGTGCTGGAGTGGGAAGAGCTGGAGCTCAGAGTTGACTAGGTCTATTGGCGGGAACCTGTCACTAGCTGTGTGACTTCAGGCCCAGGTGCCATTTACTTTCTGGCATTCAGTTTTATCATCAATAAACATGGAGACTGGGCAGCACTTGTGGCTTAGGGAGTAGGGCGCCGGCCCCATCTACCGAGGGCGGTAGGTTCAAACCCAGCCCTGGCCAAACAGCAACAAAAAGATAGCTGGGCATTGTGGTAAGCACCTATGGTCCCAGCTACTCGGGAGGCTGAGGCAAGAGAATCACCTAAGCCCAGGAATTGGAGGTTGCTGTGAGCTGTGTGACGCTGCCCACAGCATTCTATCGAGGGTGATAAAGTGAGACTCTGTCTCAAAATAAAATAAACATGGAGACAACATTCAACTTACAGGACTGAATGGGATTATGACAATGTATGCATGTGCTACATGCACACTGAATAGTAAGTCTTAGAAATAGGAATTTTGTCTCATCTTTCTTTTGGTCCTAAAGTATTGATGCCTATAACTGGACCTGGATGGAGAACTCACTGCAAATTACTTAAACTTTTTTCTCATTAAAAGAATATTACCAAAGTGATCTATGTACATTACAGGAAAAAATCAAAAAGACAGAAAACAAATAAAAAGACAAGAAATTTCTACTACACCATCCACAGTTGATGGCCATCCTTCTAGACTTTGTTCTGTGCATATATCACACACATCTGTATACAAAAGCAATGTATACAGTGTATCTACTATCTTGTAACTTGCTTTTAAAATCCAACAATGGGGCGTCACCCATAGCTCAGGGGGTGGGGCACCGACCACATACACCCAGGCTGGAGAGTTCGAACCTGGCCCTGGTCAGCTAAAACAACAATGACAACTGCAACAACAACAAAAATAGCCAGGCACTGAGGCCTGAGCCTGTAGTCCCAGCTACCTGGGAGGCTGAGTCAAGAGAATCGCTTATGCTCAAGAGTTTGATGTTGCTGTGAGCTGTGGCACCATGGCACTCTATCCAGGGTGACAGCTTGAGACTCTGTCTCTAAATAAATAAAATAAAATCCAACAATGGATCATGGAGCACTTTAACATAAAAAGTCCACAACTTAATTTTTACTATATGGAAGTCCATTGACAGCAGACCCAATTATTCCAACAAATTTTCTTGATAGATATGTAGATTGTATTGCATTTTCTGCTATTATAAATAACACTGTAATGAACATTCCAGCAGGTAAATCTTTGTTCACACTCTTCATTATTTTCTTATTAAAATGGCTAGCAATAGAATTACTGGGTTAAGGGCAATTCTTAATATTACAGCTTTTGATAGAATTTGCCACATTGCTCTCCAGAAATATTATAATGGCATTCATATGAGGAGTGTATAAAGCAACAGGAAATGATCTTAATTTGAAAGTTACAAGCATGATAAATAGAAACCTTTTTGTTAAAAGGACAGAGAGAGGCTGTGAAGCTTGAGTTTCTGAGCTCCTCAGTAGACAGATCAAGACTTTGAGGAGTAAGAAGGAAATCATTCCAGTCAAATGATGTCTTAAATTCTTCTCCAGAGAGTGTAGTAACTACTCTGTGCTGTGTGTAAAAAGCATATCCCCCTCTTGGAGGAGTAGAAGGTTATAATACAGTGTGACAAGTCTAGCCATAATAAGTCTAGGCTTTAACCCTTAACCTCAAACCTTCACAGACAGAGGCAGCAAAGGAATTGGCAAAGACTGGAGGATATAACATCTAAGACTGGCTTTGAAGAGTAAATAAGAACTCAGTCTCATGAAGAAGCAGGAAAGGGCAGAAAAATCCCATGTTCAAGACCCCAGAGTGGAAGCAAGAGGAATTACAACTAGGAATCTAAACACCAGGGAATCCAAACCAAGGGTTGTTCTAAAAGGCTTTTTAAATGAGTGCCTGTTTTTCAATCCTCTCCATTGTAACAACTGAAGAATCCTTTGCTCCAGTGGCATATGGAAGACAACAGACCCCAGGAGGCTGCAAATGACCAGTGACAACAGGAAAGACAGCTTCCCTTGTAAGAACAAGGCAACACTGTTTGTCATGTAATATCCCTGCAATACTGGAAATATCTGGCATGTAATGCAGAATTTGTGCCTTTCTTAGCCTCTCCTATGTTTTAGCAGGTAACAACATAACTTTTCAAGTGTTTTCTTTTTGAGAATGATATTTAAACTTCAGAAATACAGTTAATTTTGAATAAACCAGAATCCAAATATTAAGGGTAAAGTTTTTTCTTCTGTAATTCTATATGGCTTGAGATTACACATGAGAGAGAGAGAGAATAGAGAGAGAGAGAAGACAGAGGGAAAGAGGTGAGAAGGTTAGAGAGAATGATAAGATACAAAGCCAGAGTGGTAGGCTGGCAGGAGTCTGAGGCCCTTGGGCACTATAATTATTTTCATAGCATTCTAAGAGTTTGAGTAAATCACTGAAGGGTTCTAAGAGTTTGCTTTTCAGAAAGATCACTCTGGGTAGCAGAGCGATGAAAGATCCTGGCTTCTGCAGGATCCCCTTATCACCAAAGGCAGAGGCAACAAGAACAGACATGGGTTCCAGCCTGCTCTCACTTCCCCCTACTTCGTGTCACTCTTCTCTTCCTGAACATCTCCCTAGCGACTTCAGCATCCAGCATAAGATACAGAGACAGCTTTCAGGGACTGTTTATCCAGCCCCCATAATTGAAAAGCCATTTTTTATAATACCTAGCACTGATTCTGCAAAATCCAGCTGAACCCTGACTGATATAGCTGTGAATGAGGAAGACCCGTCAGAGGACACTGCTGCAGAGATGAAGATGACAGTGGAAACAGAGGAAATGATGGCCATATATTGAGGATATAGAAAATCAAGACTCAGTAACTCATCAAATATGGCAGCAAGGAAGAGGGAGGGATCAAGAGTTACCCCAAAGTTTTAGGCTCTGTGATTAAGTCACAGAGTCGTGCTACCATTACACAAATGGAGCAGATCTGGTGGAGCAAGGGAACTGAGTTTGAAGCTGTTAAATTTGAAGGGCCCAAGAAATCTCTAAGCAGAGATTTATAATAGGTGCTGGAGGACACGCAGACCTGAGGCCTACAGGGATGAATAGGATTATCATCAGCCAAGATGGAGGCTCGATCCTGGGAGTGGATAAGCTCACTCTGGGAGAGGAGGCAGGGTGATGAGATGAGAAGGAGGCAGAACTCTGAGAAAACTAATATTTAATGGGCAAGCAGAGAAAGATGAACTAAAAGAAAAGGACTTTGAGATGGAAAGGTTGCAGAGGAGAAAACCAGGCTCGATGATAAGGAAAAATTGCATTCAAAAAGGAAAGGGGTGGTTGGAGAGTCAGGCGCCATGGATGGCTTGATTAGAAAAGCGCTACATATCTGGCCACTAGATGCAGCACCAGAAGGTGAAAGTGTTCTCGGAGCCTCTGATCGGAGACGCAGGGAAAAGGAACTGCAGAAGAGATGATTGGTTTGAAGGGAGGTTGAGACTCGCTCAGGTCAGCAACCAGGCCTGACTTTACTGATTATCTTCTATACTTTTAAACATTCAGTAAGAATTTAACACAGATATAAAGAAGTGAAGTAGCATTAGGAATCTACCATTAATATTACAATTCAGTGTGAAGGCTGAGGAACACAAATACAATTGATTTTGTTTAGAGTAAAAACATAAAGAAGACTGACTGTCTGTTCTTGCTGGCCCAAACCGAAACTAGAGATTATAATGTTAATGAAGGAAGAAGACAGAGAACAGAACCCAACGCTCGAGGACATGTGTTCGAGCTTCCAGCTGCGACCCCAGTCTGATTCTCCATGATCTCTTCTAAA